CACCAATATCCCTAATGAATATAGATGCAAAAATCCTCCACAAAATATTAGCAAACAAAATTCAGCAACAGATAAGAAAGATTTTACACCATGACCAAATAGAACTTAGAAATACAATGTTGGTTCAATATATAAAAATTAATCAATGTAATATGCCCAACACTATATTAATGTAGTATAAAGAACAAAATCCATATATGGTCATCTCAGTAGACACAGAAAGCAATGTGCACAACCCAACACTTTTCATGATAAAAGCATTCAACAAACTAGGAATAAAAGGGAACTTCCTCAACCTAGTAAAGAGCATCTGTGAAACATCCATACTAACATTATATTTAATAGTGAAAGACTGAAAGCTTTTCCTCCTAAGATGAGGAATAAAATAAGGAGGTCTGCTCTTGCCACTTCTATTTAACATTGTATATTCTAGCCACAGCAATTAGACAAGAAAAAAGGCATCTCAATTGGAAAGAAAGAAGTAAAACTATCTCTATTTGCAGATGACACTCTTATGTACAGGAAATCCTAAGAAATCCACACACACAAAAATTAGTATTAATAAATGTGTTCAGCAAGATTATAAGATACAAGTTCAGTATACAAAAATTCATTTTATTTCTATATGTGAGCAAGGAACAACTTAAAAATGAAATACATATTTACGAGACATTTCTCCAAAGAAGATATGCAATTAGAAAACTGCAATAATGAGATACCACCTCATACCCAGTAGAATGTCTGTAATTATAAGAATGGGCAATAACAAGAGTTGGTAAGCATATATGGAGAAATTGGAACCCTCATAATTGCTGGTAGGAATGTAAATTGGTGCTTCTACTTTAGAAGACAGTTTGGTAGTTTTTTAAAAGAGTAATCATGGAGTTGCTTTATGATCCAGTAATTCTGCTCCTTGGTATCTATCCAAGAGAATTGAAAACATATGTTTACACAACAACTTCTACGTGAATATTCATGGCAGCATATTTATAATAGCCAAAAGGAGAAACAATGTAAATGTCTATTAATGAATATGGTATATCCATACAGTAGAATAGTATTGTGCCATGAAAAAGAATAAAGTGAAAGAAACCAGATACTAAGACCACATCTTATATGATTTCATTTATATAAAATGTGCAGGATAGGCAAATATGTGAAAACAGAAAGCACATCAGCCGTTGCCAAGGGTGAGGGAAAGGGAATAATGGGAAATGAATGCTAATGTGGGTGGACTTTCTTTTAGTGGTAATGAAAATGTCCTAGAGTTGGATAGTGGTGATAGTTGTACAACTTTGTGATTATATTAAATACTTCTAAATTGTATACCTTAAAAGGGTGAATTTTGTGGTATGTGAATTATATATATCTCAATAAAAGGAGATACAATATAAAAGTAAAGTTTAGTAAAACTCTAATTCTAAATATTAAATATAAAATTTAAGCATAAACTTATGATGTATCTATTAAAGTATACTTCTAGCTCCAGCCACTATGAAGGTGTAGAAACCATAACCAAGCCAGTGGTACCTAGTGCCCTTAGTGCCCAGTATCTGAATAGAGGTATTGGTGGTATTAAGGAGCCAGGGTTCCTTGGCAGAATAGTTGATTCCAGTTTAGGGCAGGAAGTATAGGAGTTAAGCCTGGAAAATCTTCTGGTATCTTTTATCAGAAAGAAGGGAAACTATGAGTACTCTACGGAAGGATGAGGAGCCAACTTGAAAAGGCTCCCTTGGGCTAAGATAGGCTTATTTGAGAACCAGTAAGAATCATACTTACCCTGAATTGAGACATATTAGTTATGCTAAAATTTATGAGTTCATAATGAAAACCACTAATTGCCAACTTTTGGAGATTCTGGGAAACCAAGTCATTCTGAAAATCGGGAAACAAAGAATTAGGCCGTCGAGGAAGGTCGCTTCCAGCCAAGATGGAGGCGTGGGTGGAAATACTGTACCTCCTCGCACAACCAAATTTAAGGACAACAAAGACTTGGAAGCAAAAATGCAACCACAACAGAGAATTGAACTCTACCAAAGTCCGACAACAACGAACCATTCATCCAGGCCGGTAAGAGGGGCAGAGTCAGCGGCCTTTCCCGGCAGGAGAAGGTGGTGGTTGGCGACCCGGTCAGGTGCAGAACGAAAACCCAGGAAGGCTCGCAAGACAGCTGGCTGACCGCAGACACACATTTGTGTGCAGGTAAACCAGGCAGGTTTAAAAACAGTCAGTGAGACAGACCACTCAGGGTAGGGCCCCGGCGGCAGGAATTAAAGCCTAAAAGCACCAATTGGAAAAACTTTGGGGGTAAAGGTGCCGGGAGGCTCCCAGGCTCACAAGAGTTCCTGTTGGATGGACCCACAGGGATCTTTCAGGTGCACAAGCCCACACATCCGGGGACCAGCACCAGAAGGGCCCAATTTGCTTGTGGAAAGCGGCAGAGGGGACCAAAATCCGAGAGAGAGCAGAACAAATGCCATTGCTCCCTCTCTGACCCCGCCCCCAGTCAACGACCCAGCCACTGGGTAGACCCGCCCCTCATAGGTAACAGGCGCAAACAGACCAAAATATTATGGCTCAAGCCGAAGAACAGCTCAAAGCCCCAGAGCCCCAAATTCCCTTTGTTGCTCTTCTAAGCGACAAAGAGATAGCCAACCTATCAGATGCACAGTTCAAAACACTGGTGATCAGGTTGCTCACAGAACTGGTTTATTTTAGTCACAAATTAGATGAAAAAATGAAGGATACACTAAGGGAAATAAAGGAAAACGCACAGGAAACCAATAATGATGGGATGGAAACTGGGACTAAAATCAATGGAGTGGACCAGAAGGAAGAAAGAAACGACCAAACAGAAAAGGATGAAGAAACAAGAATTCAAAAAAATGAGGAAAGGCTTAGGAACCTCCAGGATATCTTTAAACATTCCAACATCCAAATTATAGGGGTACCAGAAGGGGAAGAAGAAGACCAACAAGTGGAAAATTTATTTGAACACATAATAAAGGAGAGCTTCCCCAATCTGGCAAAGGAAATGGACTTCCAGGAAGTCCAGGAAGCTCAGAGAGTCCCAAAGAAGTTGGGCCCAAGGAGGAACACACCAAGGCACATCATAATTATATTAGCCAAGATTAAAATGAAGGAGAGAATTCTAGAAGCAGCAAGACATAAGGGGACAGTCACCTACAAAGGAGTTCCCATCAGACTGTCAGCTGACTTCTCAAAAGAGACCTTACAGGCAAGAAGAGGCTGGAAAGAAGTATTCCAAGTCATGCAAGGCAAGGACCTCCATCCAAAATTGCTCTATCCAGCAAAGCTTTCATTTAGAATGGAAGAGCAAATAAAGTGCTTCTCAGATAAGGTCAAGTTCCAGGAGTTCATCATCACCAAGCCCTTACTATACGAAATGTTAAAGGGACTTATTTAAGAAAAAGAAGATAAAAAATGTGAACAGTGAGAGGACAACAAACTCACAGTTATTAACGACCACACCTAAAACAGAAGCAAACTAAGCAGACACCTAAAACAGGAGTGAAGCCACAGAAACGAAGATCACATGGAAGGTTAGCAACAGGGGAGTGGGAGGAGGGGGCGAAAGAAGGTACAGAGAATAAGTAGCATAGGTGGTGGGGAGAAAATAGACAAGGGGGAGGGCAAGAGCAGTGTGGGAAATGTAGAAGCCAGAGAACTTATGACACATGGACATGAACTAAAGGGGGGTGGAATATGGGGGGAGAGTGTGTACAGGGTGGAGGGAATGAAGGGGGGAAATGGGACAACTGTAATGGCATAATCAATAAAACATATATTTTAAAATGAAGAAAAAAAAGAACTTAGGCTGTCTTTCTTGTACTTCAAGGTAACCAAATAGTTAGTGTGGTCATTTTTCTTGATAGAAGTATTCCAGCTAGTAAATGAAGAATGATAGAATTAGAATATCATCATTTTTGCAAACCCCCGATGAAATACAGGATTCATCAATGGCCACCAACGTCACAAAAGGAAAGACAACTGGATATTGCATATTTCCCATGGGATACTCACACCTCTGAAGATGTTGCTAGAATATTTCATCCAGTTAGGTCAGGTTTCTAGATCTAGCTATCATTTTACGGGAACCAGAGGTTGGGGGGTGGACAGATAAAGGTTCAGAGAACCACAGCTAGGCAAGCAGCAAAATGCAGACTGGGGGAAATCCAATATGACAAATGGCCTCGTTTCTTCAACAAATAAATTGTGAGTAAAAAAAGAGACACAGGAGACATATCATCAGCTAAAGGCAGTGTGTGGGCCTCATCTTGATCCTGATTTATACAGACCAATTATAAGAAGACACAAGAAGATCCAGGAAATTTGAATACCCAACTAGATATTCGATGATAATAAGGGACTGTGGTCATTCTTTTCAGTGTCGTAATGATATGAAAGGCCCATAGGGGCAGGGCCTCCCACCCTGAGGCTTACCGTGGGGCTGCTGAGGGGTGGAGGAGAAAAACGTGCCCTTTGCTGGAAGAGCCCGGAGAGGGAAAGCGGGGGTGGGCTGAGCCAGGGAAGCCTAGTTGATTCTTCCAAACTCATGGATGAATGGTTTCTCCTCCACTGGAATGAATGTGCAGGGGTGGGGAGAGAGTCCAGAGTTGCTGAAGGGCTATCCTCTACATGGGGTGGTGAGGATGGGCACCCATGTTCCTGTCATGACTGAGGCTTAAACAAGATAATGCATGTGAAGCATGGAACCCCCGTGCTGCTCCATCAGCACTGGCTGCCCTTGTTTTGGGTCATGTGTACTTATCCCCATGTACTGTGTACAGGGGTTGGAGGCAGGACTTCAGGATGCCAAGGAGCAGAAGATTCTGTAGTGAAGTATCTCCAGCTTTCACTCATTCCCTAAAGGCTGGAGAGGAAGTGGGATTTGCACTTAGCCAAAACATGTGCCTGAGTTCTCTTGGCAAGATGAGAGCTGAACCTGTCCTCTCCCTGTCCCCTGTGTCTCTCTCCAGCTGCAACAGAAAACGCTACCTGGAGGTGCTCCCCAACACCAGCATCATCATCCCCTTCCACAATGAGGGCTGGTCCTCACTGCTCCGCACCGTCCACAGCGTGCTGAACCGCTCACCCCCGGAGCTGATTGCCGAGATTGTGCTGGTTGACGACTTCAGTGACCGAGGTAGGGCCCATTCCACCCAGTTCCTGCCCTCAGGGCTCCATCCTGGGACTTCTTTGCCAAAGGAACGGCAGGTTTTCCCTTCTTCAGCAGCAGCAACGTAGGGGCCACCATTTACTGATGCTTGCTCTGTGCCCAGCCGTGAACCTGACCCTGTATGCACATTATCTTGTTTAGTCCTCACAGCAGTGCATGAAATAGGGTTTTTTTCCCATGTTTTTCTCTACAGAAATTCATTAAACTGTAACCGAAAACTTGATAAACAATAGCTCAGACAAGCAAGAGTTTCTTTATTTATTTAATCATTCATTTTATATTAAGATTCAGGATTGGTATAGCCGCTCAAGGCTATCAGCAAAGAATGAATCAGGCTGCTTTTTTTCTGCTTCCTCATCCTCATGGTCACAGAATGGCTGCTGTGGCTCAGGAAGAAGGAAGAAGGGCAAAGAGCACAAAGCTTCTTCCTTTCAAGACTTTGTCTACTTATTCACAAAAGACTCTTGGCCACAATTCTGCCATCTGGGCACCTGTATCTGCAAGGGTGGCTGGGCCATAGGAATGTTTTGATTTTAGTAGAGGTAGAAAGGTGGATTAGAGAAGGTGGTCAATGAATGGATTAGAGGTGTTAAAAAAATAGTATCTGCCACACTGTTCAAAGATAAGGAAACTGAGACTCAGAGGTTAAGTGTCTTAGCCTTGGTTCATCCAGCTCTTACGGGGTGATGCGGTGACTGGACCTTGTCTGCCTGTCCCCGAGCATGTGATCTTAGTGACTGTACCACACTGCCTTGCAGCCAATAGCTTCAGCCTTTGCATCAAAGGTTTCACCAGTTGCAGAAAAATCGAGAAGAATCCCCTCCACTGCTCACATTCTGTAGAGGCGCTAATCAAGAGTGAAGGGAGGGAGTCTGCACGCGCTCCAGAGCGATCAAAGCCGACCTCCCTATTGACCCGTTTAAAGACCACGTTCTCAATCACATGCCTTTAGTAGGAGGCCTTAGTGGTGTGTGTGTGTGTAGACATACTTTCTCACACACACACACACATAACTCCCGTTCCTACCATCTCTAAAATCCTTCCCTAACTCTTGACCTACACTCATTGTCATGAAACTCTTTATTTTTCCTTCTTAGCGCTTATCATTGGCAGAATTAAAATACAAATAAGTATAATGTATGAACATTATGTGTGTTGACATTGGCTGGATTGCATGTCTCCCCTACTAGATGGTATTTTTCAAGATCAGGGGCCACCACATTGGTCTTGTTCACCCATCAAACACAGGTGTCCGATGAATGAATGATCAGAGTTCTTTCCCTTTGTCCCCTTAACACTTGGCCACCATGGTTATATAGCTTCAAGCACTTTATATGAGATGTATTTGTGTCCCTGAAGTGAGGTCCATGAGACACCCACTGAAGCCAGAGGGGTGTCTCCTGGCCTCCACAGCCCTGTTCTTTAGCAGAGCGCCTGGCAGAAGTTACACCTTTGACCCTGGCCCTGCCACCCATCAGACCCAGTCACCTGACCTCTGTGCTCCCATGCCCTCCTCTGAAAAATGGAACCACAACAGTACTTATATCTTAGGCAGCTGTGACTATTAAATGAGTCTCGTGTAAAGTGCTTAGGGCAGAACCTGGCACACAGAGGACATTAGGAATGAACACTGGGGCTTGCTGTTATTGTTGTTACTATTGATATTACTTATGACTGGTGGCAGGGGCGGAGTCAAGGTAAATGCACAGGCACAGAGGCGCAGGTACAGTCTTCCCATCTCTGTGGGGGAAAGGGCTTTGTGAGTTGTCAGACATGAAACAAATGTTCTGTTGCCTCACCTCCCACCTAAATTGTCTCCTGCCCATTCGCCGTGTAGGTGGTCATTTGAATGTGCCAGCCCCATACATTGTCCCATTTGTTCTTGACAATGACCTCTGAGGAAGGCCTTGGGATCCTTGGGTCTCTGATGGGGAGCTGGGTTAGGTGACTTGCCCAGAGTCACACAGCCAGTGAGTGGCACCCCCAGGCCTGGAGAGGCAAAGCCCAGGACCGTTGTTCTGTGTGTTTACATGTGCCGCTGAGTCAGCTCTGAGTCCCGGTGCCCTGTAATGCGTGGTGTCCCCCCTGCCCTGTCCTCGGCAGCCCTGCTCAGCTCCTGTAGCCTCATGCCTAGGGCTCCCTTTATGGGGTCTGTTGGGCCCATATTTCATCTTCCTCTTCTCCTGCCGCCTTCTATTTTCCCAGCATTATTGTCTTTTCCAAAGAGCCCTGCCTTTTCTTGATGTGCCTGAAGTAGGCCAGCTTCAGCTTTGTCATTTTTGCCTCCAGTGATATTTCAGGCTTAATTTGCTCTGGGACCCACTTGTTCATCTTTCTGGCAGTCCAGGGTATTCGTAAAGCTCTCCTCTAACATCATATTCCAAATGAAGCCTTTTTTTCCCTCTTTGCCTTCTTCACTATTAATTTTCGCTTCTGTACATAGTAATTAGGAATACGAGGGTGTGGATGATCTCTCCCACTGCCTTTTTCTCCCCCTTCTGCTTCCCTATCCCAGTCTCCTCTCCCAGCGTCAGCCTTCTTCCAGGTTGGGCCCATCACCCATGGACTCGCAGCCAGACCGTGAAAAGCAACATAAATGGGCGCACTGCTCATGTGATTACTGGATTTCCGTGTACTGCGCTGCAGCAGAAACAGCCCCTGCTCCTTGGAGCAAACAGCCAAGGTTCTCCGTACCCCTTAGGGAGCACTGTGAGGGGTATGGAGAACCTTACAGGTGCAGGTGGGGTTCAGGTATCCCTCCTGGCATGGTCTGTATTCGGTTTCTGAAAAATTGTTCCACTACTTAGAAATGTATGGAAACCACAGGTGTATCTCAGCCTGCTCGTTTTAGGAGTGGGAAACCCAAGGCCTGGAGCGGTGGGCACAGCCAGCTGCTGGCAGCAGAGATGGGAAACCCATCTCCAGGCCCCGAATACAGTCTTGTCCCTCCTCGCCTCAGCTGGCTATGTGACACATCTGCAGAAGTACGTTTGTGACTCCTCTCTGTCCCCAGGGACACTTCTCAGTAAATTACTTTTCTGTTGTATAAAGAGCAAACTTCCTGCTAAAAAGAGATCATTATCAAGGATGGTCAGTCCTGTACCCTAATGGTTCACACGTCTAATATCCCAGTTTCCTTAAAGGAATAAAAATACTCAGGAGTAAAAATAACATGACCACCCACCCCTACTCGCTCCCATAAAAAAAAAATGTAACAATCTTGAAAAAGAAAAGGTCAGTTTTATAAGAATGACATTCTCCGGGTGCATCTATTTCTCCAGAGAGCAAAACTATTAATGCGGTGTGGGTGTCCCACCCACACCCCGATAAGGTGGATAGACCAACTGTTGTCCCATTTCTCAGTTGGTGATGAAGACCAGTGTCCCTGATCCTTGCCCCACTCTCTCAATGAATCACATGCAGGGGTTCTCCTCTGGGTAGAGGAGGACTCCCACCTCACCGTCCTCCGTCCTGCACATCAGTTGTCAGAGTTGGCAACTGGCATTTTTCAGAAAAACAATCATCATTCCTGTTTCAAGAAGCAATTCTGAAGGCAGCTTTGGAACAAAACTTACTCCGCAGTGATTGCTTTAAAAATGAGGTGTGGGGGGAGCAGTTTCAGCGTCGTGGAGAGGCCTGTCTCCTGCACTGCGAATGGGGGCCTTCTCGGAAGGCATTTCTCTGGGCCGCGTGCGAGGGCCGTTCTCCGAGATGAAATCCGTGGGCGCTCACTGCAGGCTGCATTGGCGCTGCCTGGCCGAAGGCATCTTCCTCTGAAATGAGTCTCCTCCAGGATCCTCAGGGCAACCAATTGAAATTCGGTGAAGGGTCATGACCTTGGGTAGGAGACAAAATTGGAGCAGGCGAGTTCTTGAAATAAGATCCAGAGCTCTGTGCAGGCAGCACTAGGGAGCAGAGCAGAGGCAGACGCAGACACCGGCAGCGCCCTGGCGTGCGTAGGAATAGGCCACTGCACCTCCAGGAGTCCCCAGAAGCTCTTCAAATGTGTGAGCTTTGCTTGAGGACGAGGAGGGCAGGGGGCTGTCTCTGCACTTGGGAGGGACTGGTGAAGGCGACAGGTGGCAGACCTGCCCCCACGCTGCACTGCCCGGGTGGGAGGTCTTTATTAGGAAACACAGAAAGCCCTTTGGTCGTTTGTTTTTGTCTAGTACTCTTCTCCTTCCCCATCCCGCTTTTTAACAGGGTTGATTTTTCTAGAAAAATTGGATATGTAGTCCATGGGAAGAGTTGTTATCTTTGGGTGAACTGTAGGGGGCCTGGAATGATGGGGTACAGAAAGGAAAGGCTGTGGTGTAAGCTCACTGATAGCATTTTCCCCACCCCAGCTTTCTGTCAGCAGATAAGCAAACAAAAATGTACACAGGGCCCTAGCAGGTGTGGCTCAGTTAGTTGGAGCATCGTCCCGCAAAGTGGAAGGTCGTGGGTTTGATTCCCGGTCAGGGCACGTGCCTGGATTGTGGGTTTGGTCACCGGTTGGGGCGCATACAAGAGGTGGCCTGTCGCTGTTTCTCTCTCTCCCTCTTTCTCTCTCCCCCTTCCCCTCTCTCTAAAAATCAATAAGCATATCCTCAGGTGAGGATTAAAACAAATTTTTTTACATGTACACAGGGACAGACTCCCTAAAGGGAACTCCTTAAGCAGGTATTTGCGAGCCCTTGGTAAACTGCCGGCAGTGAGCGGTGCTGGAAGGAGTATGGACGCGGAGGCCCTTTGGTTCCCGTGGGAGAGGTGCTCACCGCCAAGCCAGGGTCAGAGGCCTTCTTTCCACGATGTGTTTAGCGACTCAGACAGCACACTCGCACCACGCCCGTCGTGGGACACGTCACAGAAATCTGTTTGCCCCGACCCAATTTTCATTTCAGCGACTCTTGACACCGCCCCGTAAGCACCATTCTTCAGTTCTTGTCGTCCCTCTCACAGACTTAGTTTGCTTCTGTTACCCCTGT